TAATGATGATCCATGGGCACTGGGGCCCAGGCCGCCCTCGAGGAGGCACTGGGGAGCTGTGTGTTGGGCTAGAGATGGGGGGGAGGCTGGCTTTCTTGGGGAACAGCCCTGGGGTGGAGAAGAAGATCTCAGGGCTGAATCCAGAATGTGAAACAACTCGGAAATCACCGCCACTGGGGGGGTGGGGGGGTGGGCGGTGGAATGTGCCGGAAGTCTGTGGGCTGCCCCTCCTGGGCCAGCCAGATCCTCCCTTTCTGGGCAGGCTGCCTGGAGACAGGCACGGATTGCGTGAGGCCTCAAAGATGGGGGACCCGGGCGGGAGAGGGCAGTGGACCCCATCCTCCCCTCGCAGGGGAGGAGAGCTGCAGGCCTCCAGTCCTTTTGTGGCTCATCTTGGCCCCACCCACGCTCCTGGTGCCAGTCCTGGAACACACTCCTCTTCGCTTATCTGGGGGGCCCGTGTATTCCAAGACCCCTGGTGGCTGCCCGAAATCAGGGTGGTGGCGAGCTCACGCAGCAAGCACTGGGGTGCTCGGGGGCAGCCCGCAACCTGGATGGTCACCACGTGACCAGGCCATGCGCAGTGGGGTCACGCGGAACAAAAGGACGCTTCCGCCTCAGGTGGGCCGCAGGACTTGACGTGAGAGTTCCTGGTGCTGCTTAGATCAGTGCAGCTGAAAACATCGGAACTGGCTGTTTCTGAAATGTTCCGCGGGGTGTTTTCGGACTGAGGTTGACCCCGGGGGCCCCAGATAAGGGTGGCGGCTGTAGTGGAGGAGAGGGTGAGTGAGGAAGGGACGGGGTGGCAGCGGGCGTGGGGAGTGGAGAACGTGGGCTCCAGACCAGTTGTAAAATGTAAACTTTAAAGTTTATTTCTTTTTTATTTACTTGAAAAAGCAGAGTGCGAGAGAGAGAGAGAGAGACTCTTTCACCCACTGGTTCGCTCCCCAGATGCCTACAGCAGCAGAGGCTGGGCCAAGCTGAAGCCGGGAGCCAAGACCTCCATCTGGGGCTCTCACGTGGGTGGCAGGGGTTCAAGTACATGAGCCATCACCTGCTGACTCTCAGGGCACCCGTTAGCTGGAAGCTGGGACTCAATTCAGGCGCTTTGATGTGAGGTGCGGTCGTCCCAGATGGTGTCCTAACTGGTGTACCTAATACCCAGGCCTGCTTTTGAATCTTGATTCCTCTTCTCATCAGTTCCATGACTTAACCTCTTCAAGCCTCAGTTTCCCCATCTGTGAAATGGGGGTAATAATCACACCAGCTCGTGGGCTAGCTGTCGGGATTCCAGAAGTGTTCCTAGCACAAAGGATCTGTGCCACAGTAGTGGTTTTTAAGAAACAAAGTAACATGAAGAAAAAAAGAAAATAAATAAAGGCGTGGCTGTGGCTACTAATAGAATCTTTCTCTGAAATACCTATTATAAACAATCCCATTTTGCTGATGAGAAAACTAAGGGTTAAAGAAATCAAACGCGTTGATGATTGGACATGCAGCCAGGTAGGAGGGAAGGGCAGGTGGCGCTAGTTACCGTGTGTGGTTGAATGCATGTGGGGAGGTGTGTGGGCTGTGTGTGTGTGGCTGATGTGTGGTGTGCTGGATGGCTGGGGAGGTGCAGACGTGGCCCAGGAAGGAGGAGAAAGCGGTGCACCTGATTGTTGGAGCCACCAGTGGGCCCAGGCAGCTGATGTCTTCAGCAATGGTGATCGTGGGAGGTCCCAGGGGAGGGCATTTGGTGGATCACTGCAGGTTTGCACTTTTCTTGCCAAAGTGCCAGAGAGGAGACTTGGAAGTGCGGTGGGGCTAAGTCCCAAGACAGCTGTGCTGTGTAGTAGCGGGAGCCAGGGCAGCGGCGTCACGTGATGCAGACAGAGCTGCAGAAGAGGAGACTGACTGTGGGCAGGAAGTGGGTGGGCCCTGTTCTGCTGGGCACCCTGTCTGGGGCCCCCGCCTGGAGACCTTGGCAGACCTGGGGGGAGACTGGAACCTGACAGGCCCAGGTGGTCTCTGTGCAGCCTGTGGATGGGGGAGTGAGTGCTCACAGCAGATGCAAACCCTCAGGGCAAGGGCAGGGGGAGGGTGGTTGGGGACCCAGGCCACCTTGCTGCTTTGAGTCAAAGGGAAACCCATTCGCATGGTGGCGGGGGAGGGGTGCAGGTGGAGTGACACAGGAGAAGGAGATGTCCTTTATGTGCCGGCCCCTCTCACCTTTGAGAGTTCATCCTGTGGTTTTCCACAGCTGTCGTGCACCTGCCGGCTGTGGCCAGCAGCTCCAACTCTCCTGGGAAACCCTCCAAGATAGGCACCAAGACGGAGGGACCTGCTGCCTGGCTAGCAGGCAAAGAGAAGAAGTGAGCTCTGGAGGTGGACCCTGGAACTCAGCAGGCTGCAGCACAGCTCGGAGGCCCCAAGGGGCTGATCTGTGAAATGGGCTCACTTGCATGGGCGGTTGGGGGAACCAGAGGAAGTGCTGTCGTATCTAGAGCACAGTGTGTCAGACAGAGGAGAGCTTAGTAGTCAGCAGCTTCAGGAACATCCTGGGCAGCCCTCTGTGGGACACTCTATGCTTGTTTGGGCAGTGAGGGGTGGGGCTTCTAGCAGCCGAGTCCCTCACTCTGAGCCACAGCCATTTGGCACGCATTTGCTAATTGCCTCCTGGGGACAGAGCTGAGACCCAGAGATGAACCAGACAAGCTGGACTCTGGGGACAATAAGCAAAGTGCAGTGGAGAGCCTCTGCACACTCCAGCCTGGGAGGCAGGGGCCAGTTTCCTGGAGGCAGGTGACAGCTGGGCAGAGGGAGCAGGGTGCCCTGGGCAGAGAGGCCAGCCTGTGCAAAGGGCTGGAGCCGCCCACAGGCCCTGCCCAGGAAGCCCAGGGCTGCTCCTTGCCTCACCTGGGTCCGACAACAGAGCCACCCCTGCCATGTCCCTCAGGGCTGGTGTGGCTGCAGTGTGGGAGGTGGCGAGAGGGATCATTCCCCCCACCTTCTGGGGAGGATCCCCAATAGCCCCTGCTGACCCCAGGTCACCCCCGCTGCCTGTGTCCAGTGGGCCAGGGAGAAAATCAGTCACGGAAGGGCGGCTTCTGGGGCAGGAGCACGCCCCTCGGGGCCCCTGGGGGAGGAGATTGGTTTGACCTCTGGTCGATAAGGTCTCCTGTGAGCAGGAGGAGAGTTGGAGGACGGGAGGGAGGCTGGAGGCCTGGCCTTGGGGGAGGGGCTGGGGCCAGGCCACTCCAGAAGTCATCGCAGGAGGGTCAAAGGCCATGGGTGCGGGGCATACAGGACAAATGCCCACCAGGTGTGGGCCTTGGGGCCCTGGGTAGAAAGCCAGGTGGCCTGCAGCGATCCAGGCTCTGATCACTGTGGCTGCTTGGAGGCACACCGGGTGGGCCAGCAGGGCAGGCCCTGCTCCTCTGGGCCATATGGCTTTCCGAGCCTCAGTTTCTCCATCTGGAAAGTGGGGAGAGGGGGCTGTGCGTAGCGTTCCCACAGCCCAGAGTCCTTGAAACTCTCAGAAGCAGTCACTTGTTCTGGAACGAGGGGGTGCTTGCTTGTTTCAGCCTCACTGCAGCCCATGGAGTGGGGGGCCCATCATCATCACCCTCATTCTTGGAGGTGAGGACACAGAGGCACAGCAAGGTTAGGAGTTTGCCTGAGGTTTCTTAGCTAGAGAGTGGCGCTTGGGCTTGGAACCTGGGGCCAGCTCCCGGTAGCACTGCTGTGTGGTGGTGGTGGTGGTGGGGTTTGCAAGCTGGCAGCCCACAGCAGGGGTGGGCCATGGGCAGTGCAGGCTTGGGGGCCACAAGGCCTGTGTGTTCTGCTCCGGAGTCTCGGTTCCCTCACCTGTCGTGCGGAATGATGCTTCCAGCCTGAGGAGGCCTGTGAAAGCTGAATAAAGTGGCCCTCCCAAAATACATGTGGGGCCCAGGCCCTGGGGAGGGGGGTGGACAGGTGCAAGTCACCTGGGGACAGAGACCTGGGTTGGCCTTGGGCTGTCCTTGCCCTTGGGAGCCCATAGCGGAGGGGTGAGACAGATACTTGAGCAGCTGGGGTCCCAAGAGCCCTGCAACCGGCCGGGTGGGGCCGTGCTGGCACTGTGTGCCAAAGCTCATCTGAAACAGACCCAGAGTGCCAGCGGGACTTCGGAACTGTCCAGCTCTGTGGATTCAAGGCAGGGCAATGGCATGCAGTTTGCAGGATGCAGGAGAGCCTTGTTAGAGGCAACATGGTGATGACAGGGTCCAGGTCTTTTCAACACTCATTCATTCATTCAACAAGTGTTTGCGTTTCTGCTCTGTTAGGTTCTGGGGAATAGCAGCCCCTGAGAGGTAGAGAGAGAGAGAGGAGAGAGAGAGCGAGAGAGACAGAGAGTGCTCCAGCCTTCCTGTGCTCCCAGGCTGTTGGGGACAGACAGTTGTCACTTGAGTAGATGTCAAGGTCACAAATGCTAGAAAGAAACACAGAGCTTGGCTGGAGAATGAGAAGTGACAGAGGTGGTGCTGTCTCAGAAAGAGGCGGTCCCGGGGCTGGGTGGTTGCTGGTGTCCACCCTTATTCCAGGGCCTTGGGGGGGGGGGGGGGGGGGGGGTGTCTCCGTGCTCTGCTTCCCTTTTTCTTTCCTTAACTTTTCTTCCTGGGACGGGGCCCCGGCTCCACCACTTTCCCTAGAAGGAATCCAAGGCAGAACATCCCACAGGTCCAAGGTCACCTGAGAAAGCTGCGCTCCGGCCTGGCTTTCACAGGGGCTGAGGTGGGAAGACCCCGGGGCGTTGTCACACAGACCCAGGCCTGAGTCTCAGCTCCGCCGCTTCCTATCCGGGCCACCTCGGTTCACCTCCCCAGCCTCTGTCGCCCGACCCGTGAAATGCGGGTGGCAGTGGGGCAGTTGTGAGTGTGGGCCGAGGCCCTGCCCTCTGCTGTGAACGTGGCTGGCTCCTGCTCCCAGGGGCCCCAGCCCTGCCAGCGTGGCTCACTGTGGCCCCTTTCCCTGCCCAGGTGCTGGTGGCCGAGGAGAACGTGGACTTCCGCATCCACGTGGAGAACCAGACGCGGGCTCGGGACGATGTGAGCCGTAAGCAACTGCGGCTGTACCAGCTCTACAGCCGGACCAGCGGGAAACACATCCAGGTCCTGGGCCGCAGGATCAGCGCCCGCGGCGAGGACGGGGACAAGTATGGTATGTGCCAGCTCCTCCTCTTCCCCGGGGCTTCAGAGGCCTCCAGTGCAAATTCCAGCTCTGCCGGGTCCCGGCTGTGTGACCCTGGGCCTCAGTGTCCTGATTTGTAAACTGGGGATGCAGTGGTGAAGCCAGGGGAGGCTAGTTGGGAGTGCCTACTGCAAAGTGCTTTGGTGGCGGGCATCCGTGGCTCCCTGGGGGATGGCTGCTCCCCATGCCATTGGTGCACCAGCCCCAAGTTCAGACACTTGCAGGGGCAGGAGCCACTGGGTCATGCATTTTGGATGCTGCTGCTGGTGCATGCGAATTGCCTTGGCATGTGTGTATGTGTGTACCTGTGAGTGTATGTGTGTTTGTGTGTGAGTGCCAACGTGTATGTGTGCTGCACACTTGAGCTTGTGCACCTGTGAAACGTGGATACTCACAATATCATGGTCCTCTTGACCTGCCCTTGACCTGGAACCTCCTGGCCTTTGTTGGGAGGTGTCTGGGGACCCTCACCTGCACTCCCAGGCTGCCTCTATGAGAACTGGGAGGAGCAAGGCCCCTAAGCAGCAAGAAAAACATGACTGCAGCCTCCCAGAGCATGGGGGTGCGTGGCCGTGACGGACCCTGAGCGAGTATTCACCGCACAGGTTACGGATTGAGCATCGCCAGGCAGGAGGAGCTCCGGCTGCTCTGAGCCAGCCTGGTTCTCGCCCCTGGCCAGGAGAGCACAGCACTAGGCCTGGGGAGGCAGGGCCGTGGGTAGCTGAGGCCCTGGCTGGGCTGGGAGTCCTTGATGCGGCCGAGCCTGCCAGCCGCGGCGTTCCTGGGGTGATCCTGCTCGCCAGCCCCTGCCCGTTGCCGGCAGGACATGACAACAAGACAAATAATTTCGTGGACCTTTTATCTTAGACACCATTTATTTTCCTGCAGCCCCAGGGCAGGACTGACCTCATGGTAGGGCCCGAGCGAGCGAGCGTGGCAGCTGCACCATCACTGGGGGCCAGGCTGGGCCGGGCAGGGCTGGGCCACGCTGGCCTCCCGCACCTCTAGGCCAGCTGCCTCCTTCCCGGCTCCCTGGCCATCACTCTCACCGCCGCCCCTCCCTCCCACCCTTCTTCCCTTCCTGGCTCTGCCCCTTTCCCCTCTTTGTTTTCGTCCCTCCCCCTGGCCACAGCTTCCCTCCTCCCCAGCTCTCCCAGGCCCTCTGCGTGGACGCCTGGCTGCGCCGCGCGGGCCCAGGTGCTGGTTTTCCCTGGGCTCTGCTGTCCGGTTGCTGCCAGGGAAGAGGCAGCTGGCTGGCCGCGGCAGGAGGAGGTGCCCTGCTGGGGGTTCCCCGGAGCTCTCGCTGGCCCCTCCAGGCTAGGAGAGTACAGGGGGGTCACACTCTGGTCTGAACCATCTGTCCACAGCCTGGCCCGGGAGGCAGGGGCTGGGGAGGGAGACGGGCCCGGGCACGGCAGGCCTCTCCTTTGCTCTGCTGAGCTGGGGCCTTAGGGGATCTTACCTGCTGTGTGACCTCGGCCGTGCCCTCTGCCCGTCTCTGGGCCTCAGTTTCTCATCGATAACAATGTGAGGTTTGGATTAGAGCTGTACTTTTTTTTAATTTTTAAAAGATTTTATTTATTCATTTGAGAGGTAGAGCTGCAGACAGAGAGAGGGAGAGACAGATAGAGAGGTCTTCCATCCACTGGTTCACTCCCCAGATGGCCGCAAAGGCTGGAGCTGTGCTGATCTGAAGCCAGGAGCCTGGAGCTTCTTCCAGGTCTCCCACACAGGTGCAGGGGCCCAAGGACTTGGGCCATCTTCTACTGCTTTCCCAGGCCATAGCAGTGAGCTGGATTGGAAGAGGAACAGCCGGGACGCAAACCAGTGCGCATATGGGATGCTGGTGCCACAGGCAGAGGCTTAGCCCTCTATGCCACAGCCCCGAGTGCCGTGCTTCTTAAATGTCAGTGTGCATATGAGTCACTGAGGGCACTGTCAAAACTGATGTGGGTCAGGGGCTGGAGTGGCCCCGGGGGTGGCAGTGCCGGCCGACCCCACTTTGGGGCTTGGGGGCACCTGACCGATCTAGCACCACACCTGCTGGGCGGTCATCACACTCTTTCTAGGAACATGTTCCTCAACCCCTGCACACCCAGGGCACCATGGAGGCCTTGCGGCTGCTCCATTTAAATATCGCATTAGAAACGCAGATGAGGGACCCCATCTGTGAGCCCTGGGAGAGGAAGTGAGACAATGGAGCCAATTGAAGCTTCCAATCTAGATGATCAATACAAATATTATTGGGAGGGTGATTTATGTGGCCACACGAGGCAGGAGGACGGGGCGGCGGCTCCGTAGGTCTGTATGAGGGGCCTGCCTCGCCCTGGGGGAGGGGCAGGCCGGGTGCTGAAGGGACCTGCTCCCCCCTGTCTCAGGTCTGGCTCTGGCTGAGAGAACCATGTAGCCTGAGACGGGCAACACACACATAGTTAGAATCACCTCACTGCGGTCTCAGAATTTCAGCCAACCAAGTGCAAGTACAGGATCCCTGCAAACACCTGGCATTTGGCATCTCACCTTGGAGTTAGTAGAATGGCAGCCTCTGTGGGCAGGCAGGCTCAAAATGCAGGTCCCCTTGGTCTGGGTGACTTGTCTGCAGTGGTGGCTCGTTGGTGAAGTGTGCACAGGTTATCACTGGGGCTCCCAAACCCCTGCGTTCTGCAGAAGGATCTCCTTCTGTGTCCCCTCCAGCTTTCCCTGCGCCATGGGAGCCATGAGGGTGGGCTGCTCCAGGAATGAGGGGCTTTCTGAACCTAGGGCTGGGCTCTGGGGGTGGGGCGTGGGCTATGGGACAGCTGGCCAGAAGACTGGAGGCTCAGGGTTTGGGCTACCAGGCCAGGAGGGGGTCGAGGGGGAAGTTTCTGTGAGCCACCTCTTCTTGCCCTGGGACCAGCGGCCCTGGGCCAGGAGTCTGCAGCTCTGGGCTCAGAGCCTTCCTCTGCCTAGCGGGGATGAGAAGGCCCCCCTCACCTCCAAGGTTGATGCACCTGAGCATGGGAGGTGAGGGCCTTGGTTCCTGGCTGTAGGAAGCAGGGCTGCTGGGTACTAGGGCAGGACCCTAAGAAGTGCAGGGGCTTGGGGCCACATGGAGGGGCTGTGCTAGCCAGGGATTTGGGGTTTCAAGGGCTGAGCACGTGCACCCTGGAGTCTGGTGGGATTCACGTCTCAGCTCCACCACTTAAGAGCAGGGATGGGTTAGCCCTCTGAGCCGTCCTCTTCTGCAGAACGGGGCACTGACATGGGAGAGTGTCCGAAGCACAAGGCACCCATGGTTGTCCCAGCAAGAATATGAGTAATGACCATGAACCGCATCGCTGTGGTCCTGGCTGTCACTGGCTCAGGGTGGGGCTCCCCTGTTAGGAACTTTGGTTGTTTAAGATTTATTTATTTATTTGAAAGGCAGAATGAGAGGGAGGGAGACAGAGATCTTTCTTTTCTTTTCTTTTCTTTTCTTTTCTTTTCTTTTCTTTTCTTTTCTTTTTTTTTTTTTTTTGACAGGCAGAGTGGACAGAGAGAGAGAGACAGAGAGAAAGGTCTTCCTTTGCTGTTGGTTCACCCTCCAATGGCCACCACGGCCAGCGCGCTGCGGCCAGCGCACGGCGCTGATCCGAAGGCAGGAGCCAGGTGCTTCTCCTGGTCTCCCAAGGGGTGCAGGGCCCAAGCACTTGGGCCATCCTCCACTGCATTCCTGGGCCACAGCAGAGAGCTGGCCTGGAAGAGGGGCAACCGGGACAGAATCCGGTGTGCCGGTGCCACAGGTGGAGGATTAGCCTAGTGAGCCGCGGTGCCAGCCGAGACAGAGATCTTTCATCTGCTCCTTTGCTCCCCAAATGCCAGCAATTGCTAGGGCTGGGCCAGGCCAGAGCCAGGATCCTGGAACTCCATCCAGGTCCTTCAAGTGGGTGACAGGGGCCCAAGCATTTGGACCATCATCTGCTTCCCAGGTGCATTAACAGGGAGCTGGATTAGAAATGGAGCAGGGGCTGGTGCTGTGGCTCAGCAGGTAAAGCTACTGCCTGCAGTGCCAGCCATCCCTTATGGACACCCATTCGAGTCCCAGCTGCTCCAATTCCAAAACAGCTCTCTGCTATGGCCTTCAAAAGCAGTGGAGGATGGCCCAAGTGCTTGGGCCCCTGCAACCATGTAGAGATCTGGAAGAAGCTCCAGGCTGCTGGCTTTGGATCAGCCGGCCATGTGGCCATTTGGAGAATAAACCCCCAGATGGGAGACCTCTCTCTCTCTCTCTCTGCCTCTCCCCCTCTCTCTCTGCTTCTGCCTTTCAAATAAATAAATGAATCTTAAAAAAAAAAAAAGTGGGGCAGCTGGGACTTGAACCAACCCTCATATGGGATGCCGGCATTGCAGGTAGAGGCTGCACACAAAGCAGGCCCCAGGAGCTGGTTCTTGAGGCCTTGGGGGGGCCCTGGGGGAAGAAGGGGAGCTTCCTGTCTGCCGTCACTTCAGATACAGGCAGGGCAGGCCCTGTTGGCATGGTTCTGTGCAGGGGACCGAGGCCAGCTGAGGAAAGATGGCCTTGGGGTCCTCTCATGGGTGTGGCTCAGTCTCCTCTGAGTTAGCACCAGGGCCCCTCGCACATTCCACACAGATGGCCCAGCCGGGGGCGGGGTGTGTGTGTGTGCAGTGGTGAGTGACACATGCCAGGGCCCAGTCCTTGAGCAGCTCTCAGTCTAGCGCCCTGTTCCTTACTTGCGGCCCACATTGCACAGGAACAATGCTGTTACCTTTCCATACCTGTTCCCTTTCAGGCCTCAGTTTCCCACTTTTAGCCTGGGTGGATTAGAGGATGTGGAGTTGACATTCCGCAGGCTTCTTCCGGTGGGGGCTTGGCACGGGTCTGTGATTCCAGGTTCACAGGGAGCCAGTGTGCCCTGGAGCAGGCTCTGCCCTGCTGGGCAGCCTCCCCAAGCCCCAGCCTCGCCTCTTTACCACCCCTGTCCCAGTACGGG